AGGGAGGGAGGGAGGAGAAAAGGAGTGAAGGAGGAAGGAGCGGAGGGAGGAAGGAAGAAATTGAATTAGTCAATCAGTAAAGACTGATCAAGGTCCTTCCTTCCTTCCCAATAACTTATTCAGTTGAAAAAATAGATGAAATCAGCATTGGAGATAGTGACTTGTACAAGTCAGATGAAAAGAAAACCCATTATGCACTTAGGCAAAATGCATTTAGCTTCAAAGAGACTTTTTTCCCCCTTAATTCCTATGGTTTTTTTTTTTTTCTATATAGGAAGCTAAAATTGGGAGATCTGTTCACCATGTTTTAAATTTACATTACCAATTAAAACAGACTAAGGTGGATCAGAGATTCTTTCAAGCATGAATCAAACTAATAACAACTCTACTTTTTCTGGTTGAGATAATATCAAAGATCCAAACAGCATGAATACCAATTTGCATTATACAAAGTACCAAAAATAACACTTCCTTTATTCTGACAGAATTCACATAAAGAGTTGTTCCATTTATTTGTTACTACTCTTTTGTAAATAAATATTGATATTTTAATCCACAGAGCCAACCTTATTATAGTATTAACCATAATAACAATGTCTTACATGTTATTATACATGAAAGGAGACACGGTGTTTTTATCTTTAGATCCACATGAAATAATGTAAATTCAAGTTCAACACATACAAATAATATTTTTTTCCTAAATTCATAAACATTTTTCTGGGATACTTAGCTTCTAAATATGATATTCAAGTATGAATTTGAGCATGAAAACTACAAAGAATCATCAAAATTCAATTCAAAATAACTTCTATTGTATATTGAAAACCATAGATTGCATTATATGTGCCTAATCCATCTGGACAATTGTTTATGATTTACTCCAGGGATAATAGAAAGCCAGAGAGTGGCACCTTGTAGAATTTTTGTAAGACTTAGCAGTTTTAGTTGATTACTCCCTTTTCTCACATTTCAATTCAATTTAATTGAACAAATATTTGCTCTGCATATCTGCATATATTAGCTTCAGAGATGAATAATACATAGTCATTACCCTCCAGGGGTTAACAGCCTAGTGGGAAAAGAAAAATAAATACAAAATGAATTTTTATATGTGACAAGACAAGATGAATGAGATGATCTATTTTTTTTCCCTGAAGTGCTATGGTGGGGTAAGATAAGTGGTTAAGAGCTGCAATGAACTAAAGAGTGCTTAAATGTCATGGAAGCAGCTGTCATTTGGGGTGAATCTTAAAGACATGGGTAGACTTGCAACTTTACACACCTGTAACAAACCTGCATGAACACTAACATTGTTATTTCTTTCTTTTGATTTTTCTGTATTTATTTGTTATTTTTTTCCCTGACCACTGCTGTGCACTTACGAATACTATTTTCTGTGCCTCATTACTGTTACACTTTTTCTTCATTCCTTAATTTCTTGATTCAGTGTACACAGGGTAATTATACTTTTTGTATGTCTGCCAAAAGTGTAATTAAGGTAGGCCTCTTTTGTTCTATTTTAAAGTTCTACTTTCTAAAAATTGATGTCTGTGTATATGCAAAAGGAATCTGTTTTTTAAATTTTGAATTATTTAAACAACAAACATATTTATGCTGTAACAGTACAAAGTATCTATCATCTGTTTCCCCACTCTAAAAATTACATTCTTATTCCAATGATTAATTTTTAGAAAACATAAAAGATCATAAACTATCTGCAGATATGTTGAAATTCTTGTACAACCAATTTGCAACGAAAAGGGACAGTGAAAAAACCTAAGCTTACATCAAAGCAGAATTCTAATTTTATTAGAAATAAGGCCTAAAGAAATAGTTTTCCCAAATAAGCAGCAAGGCTGAATATACCCAGAACATCAGTAATAGTCACCTAAAGATGAAAGGCAACAAGTGTGACAAATTTGGGCAATCTACTTAACATTTTTCAAAGCATCAGTAACTGGAAATATTATTATTTTTTCTTTGAAAGTACAGCAGACAACATATAAAGATTAAATAGAATCTTGAAACCTTGGCTGTTCATCAGAAAACGATTCAATGCTTCATCACAAAAGCATCTATAGACTAGAACCAAAATAAAACAGCTAGAAAAATAAAGAACTTCTATGGCTTCTGCAATTGAAATACATCCACAAATACAACCACACCAAACTGCTCAAGGTGTTCTTGTCCATTAGTGATCTGTAATTCAGTCCAGTCCTCTGTAATTCAACCAGATCACCGAAACTGGGATAGTCTGTCCACATCAGAGACAGGATTCATTTTATAGTCTTTTTTTTTTTTAACTTGATCCTCATTTCAGTTCAATGAGTAGACAAGAATGATGTTATTATATGTACTTTACAGATGAGCAAACAGTATCATAGAAGTGCCATGATTTGCCAGCCATGAATATCCTAAGCAGAGAGAAAACTATTTTCTACAAACACAGCAATCCTAAGAGTTCATCCACCAAGGTGTAAATAAATGCCACCTGTCTTGTCATTTTTACTGGGACTTTCTGACTCCTGCCCCACCTTTAGTTTTTGTGATGCTGTCGGTTTGTTTTAGTCATATGTCTCTAATCTGTACTATTCTCCTCTTTCAGGCTGGAGCAATCTGTCCTGAATTAGAAAAGAGGTGCTAGAATGTGGGAGTGGTAGTTGACCTACATCTGAACAATTTGCATATGATTCACCACAATTAAACAATTTGGTTTGAAATAGCTACAATTAAGTTATTATCAGAGAAGTATTTACTAGACTATAAAATCTAAATTTATCTTCACATACGCCCTTACCAAGAAAAGGGCCACATTTTCTGCACTTTTAAGTAAAGCAAATACTGAAGCAAATTCCTCCAAATTAGCGTTTATGTTGTTAAATTATTGACAGTTAATTATATGTATGGTTATTTGAGTTATTTCCTTAAAAATTATGGGTTTAGAATAGCAAAAAGAAAGCATGAAACTATGGTAAACAAGAGATCCTCATTTTCTAACTATCTCTATATAATATAAATTACATATAATACACCAAGCTATCATAAAATTGTGAAGAAGGTAATGTAAAAATGTAAAAATATGAAAAGGAAAATTTTGTCTATATTAAAACATCAACTTATGGTATGCATGAAAGACTCAAACTGACCAATAACTGTGTTGGATGATTTCAAGTTTAAGTAAGTAGATACAATATACACTCAGTCAGAATAAGTAGCATCAATGGGATGGTTTTGAAACAGTTAAAACAAATTAGACATTTTATAATCAGAAATAGCTTCTTTTCCCTACCTTAATGGGTGTGTAAAATGTTCTCTGATTGGTTGTAAAGGATGCCCTGCAAAAGAAATAGACAATAGATGACACAGAGAATAATAAACCACAAGGACTGCTTAACATTTTCAACAATGTGAGAGTAGGTGGTTTACTTGCTGGGTGTCCATAACTGTGGGAAGGCTCCTCTGTTCCCTCCTCATATGTACATGAGGTTGACAGTGCTCACTGTGACAAAGGGCACAAGCTTTAGAATAAAAGCATTATATGTGGATTGAGCATTTTTGTGGTCTGTGGAAAATGAATATAGTGAGTAGGATTCTGTTGTTCACAACTATTAACCAATTTAGTAATTTTACTACTGACAGTTGGTAAAGGGGCAAAGCAAAAAGGAAAATCACATCATATTGCTAAAATGATTTTAAAAAAACCCTAATGAGCAACCAATATGAAAACAAATAATTCCAGATCAAACAACATCTTTTTATATCATTAAAAGTATAGGTACAAAAATTGTTATTCATTTTGTGGATATGATAAAATTTTGGTTCTGAGTGATCCAAATCCTACATTTTAGGGATTGCATAGAGTTATGATCTGGCATAGGGACTTGCTATCAGGAAAATTTTGTGTCCTTCATTTAGACAGAACTAGTTTTGGGACTAGAAGATAATTTAAAAGTCAACTGGTCCAACGGCCTTGCTGCACAGATAAGCAAAGTGAAGTCACTCAGCAAGGTCGTGGCAGAGCTAGGGGTAAAATGCCCATCTCCTGGCTTCATGCTCATTCCACAGCATTAAGTTGTTTGATTCTTTGGAACTTCCAAGACTGAAAAGAAGTGGAGGGAAATATGAGTATGGTTCTGGTGAGTTTCATCCACTGAATGAAACTTCAACTTTTTGTCCAAATGAGCGATCCATACCATCAACATTTACTCTATCTACCTCATTCAAAACTCCTTTCCTTGGTGAAGAGAGACAACAAAGAATCAGATGATAGGATTCTGGTCATAAGCTGCTTACAAGTCAATGAGAGAAAGGGGGGGGGACAGTTAAGAGGAAAGCAAATGCTCTGCAAAGCTGGCAATAACACAAGTAGCTGGATCTGAAAGAAGCCACGCAGTAGTCCTTCACATAAAATCTGTTTTCTGGGCCAATTTTAAACAAAGAAAATCTACCATTTGTTCTGTAACATGTGCTTCTCCATTCTAAATTGGTCTGTACTATTACAAGCAATAATGTTGCTCCCCGACTAGACTTTGTACATTTTTAAAAATATAGCCCTGTGATTCTTAACTAACAACATACAATTTTGGTAACAATTAATTGTTTCTTATAAATGCTTTCAAATGGCACACAATAACCCTTGTCTCAAGTCTGTTTTGCTATATTCACATAGTAACCTTTATGTTTTCAGACAGCGCAATAACAGAATCAACATCACCTAAGCCTAGATTTCACTGCTACACTATCAAGACCAAGAATTCTAAAATAGGAGCTGAGCACAATAGCTGTGAGAATATCTTCCTGTGCTATAATCTTAGAAAAGGCTTGTGTGTGCCACTTTGGAAGATCAGAATGTCAGTCATATGCATCTTCCCTTGCTGGACAATCTCAATGATTAATTCATGTTTCCTTTGCAGAATGTCAAAGGATGAATGTAGTAAGTTTAAAAGTCAGATCAGATATAAAAAAGACATTGCATAAAAATGTTTTTTAATTGTAAGATGTAAATAACTAGAAAGTTAGAGGTGCACCCAGCTAGAAGACCTAGCATCTGTAAGGACATAAAACACAATATAACAATAAGATATAGTTGCTGGATTTTATTACTCAAAATTTTCAATTCGGCTTAAACTAAAAAAGAATGTTGAGACAAATATTTTTATATGCCAATGTTTAAACAAAAAGTTTGTAGAATGAATTACAAGGAAATGTGTTCTATGAAATAACAGCAATAGATAAAGAATGAGATATGTTTACTATTTTCTATAAGAAGACATATGATCAGAGTTCAGCAGTATTTATTTTATAGGTGTGTAAATTTATACATACCATATTGTAGGTGGACACAATTATGTTTTATGCCAGAGAATACACTAAACACTTAAATACATACATATAATACATTATGTACTTTATGTTCTCAAAAACATTTGATTAGATAGGAGGATTTCAGCTTTTTGCTACCTCCAAAATCTAAATTATGATAAATAAACACATCTGCAAGTTTCAAAGTGGCATACATTGTGCAGATTACTGTCAATTGAAGGCAAAAATGCCACAATACAGAAGAAAAATTTTTGCAGAGTTGGTGAAAGACAAAGAAGAAATAAATCAAGTTGCTAGTGTTTAATATAAATTAATTAGGAACTCTGATTCACTACTCTCCTCTTCCACTGAAGGGAGCATTAACATGCTGCCAAAACCACGTTGAAAATCTCCTATTTTAGGAAAATGTAGTTTGACCAAGAGAATTTAAAATACCCTGTAAATGTATTCAAGATTTCCTTCCAAAAGGCTTCAGTTCTTTTATCAGATTAAGAGGTCACAACAAGTTTGCATTTTACAAAGAGGAAGTTGCTCAGAGCATTTAAAGAACAGGAGTAAAATTAAATCTTAGCATTTCTTCCAAAAGTACACAAAAACAAGCCAAATTCAAAATGTCTGTACACGTCTGACAAGATAAGCATGCTCTTTATAATGAGCATATGAGAATTTTGCTTCACGTACTTATTAAATCAAATTTATTTTATCAAAGTTTAAAACATAGTAGCATCCACAGGTCTACTGAGTAAAAGAACTTGAAGACTGCCTAGATAAGCCCTTTAATTTTCCAAAGACATAAATGAATGAAGATGAATTTTATAACATTTTGAGTTAAGCATAATTTTAGAGCCACACCATGTTTCATTTTGATTTTCCACAAGGCTGAGTTTTGTCATTTTAGGAATAATGATCATGAAAACTCTCCCAATGTTTTAGTTATGAGATTTACTTTTCAGCTCTTCTTTTAAATTCAAATCAAGTAATATCTTCTAATAGTATGTTTTGATTTCAAAACCTATTTTTCTATTTAATCTATAGAAAAATTTATACCCATTAAAAATTAAAAATAATAAAATTCTCACATTAATTATTTAAAAAGCATAAATTGTTTATAAGAAATAAATATACTTTTCCTCCTAGCCTTGTAGACACTCCATTTTCTCTTATATATTCTACAATTTTAATAACCTAAGTCTATGCTTCAAATCTAAGTCCAGGTTAGGGTTAGGGTTCTTGTTAAGTCTCTTAGCTTTGGTTTCTTTATCAGGAAGATGTGGTTTAATTAATAGCCTACAGATTCTTCTCACCAAAGGATATGAGACCTAAAGCTTTTATAGTGTTACTGAATAACCATCTTCATTTTCTAATAATCAGAATATGGTCTAAATCATTCAAGTCCACTCTGACCTGTCAGAAACCACAGCTTCCTTTTGTGGTGTTAGCAGCGTTGTGAATAGAAGGGTTCCAACAGTAACTTCATGCCCAAGGAATTTGATAAGGCCTTTTTCCCACAAAGGCTCCATTGGACACTGATATTACTTGCTTTCTGCCAAAAGACCTGCTGTACAGATTGATCTCAAGTGATTCGTTTTTTCCAAGTGACAGTTGGAACATGCCCATTAGGATGGTTCTAGAAGTGTTCTCAAGCAACTTGTAGAAGCCCAGCTGAGGTCTTGTCAGCTGATCTGAGAAGAGCATAGAGTGCGCATTCCATAGACAGATTGTTAGATTGTCACGTCCAATACCTTCCTGGAATAAAAATCTCCATTCAGGCTAAGTATGGTGTGCTTTCAAATCACAAAGATTCAGAAAGGGTAATTTTTAGCTATATTTATTTTACACTTGACAGAGTAAATTTAACATTATTTGCTAAAAATACAAATACTCCTACCTTTTGAAATGTATTTTCTCTTGGGTACAATTAATTTATTATTTTAAATTCTCTTGGTCAAAACTTCATTTTCCTAAAATAGGAGATTTCCCATGTGGTTTTGGCATAATACTTTATTATGAAAAATTTACCAGCTTTTGTGTTGGAAAATACAAAACAGTTAATTTTCATTGAAAACATCAAAAATATTACAGTCAAAGTAAAAAACATTCTTGCTCTTACTAGTGTGTTTATACTTCCCAAAGTAATTAACAAACTTAAATAAAAATATAACATTGATGGAAGTAAGAACTATGAAGAGATACAATGTAGGGAAATGAAACAAAAGGTGGGTTATGTTTCTAAATGAACTGGGAAAATTAGGAAGACTAAGGATTTTAAAAGTGACTATACTGCTTCCTGAAGGCTATCAGCTATCACCTTGATTCTGTTATTTTGGAAATTTGAGACTGAGATTCCCCTTTATGTCATCATGTGAACTTTTTATAACATGAGATAACAACATACCTCATTCAGTTTTTTATGACACTTGCATTTGATTGTAAAATATCTGAAAAAAAATATAAGCAGAGATCTGATTTTAAGTACATAGTGATTAAAGAAAAGTATCCAGAATGAACTTAATGAGTTTCATCTAGCTTTGGATACTATCCTGGGTCATTTACATATGTTAGATAAAGACTGTAAGGAGAAAAGGCAGTGTCTAGCCACATTCCTCCTGCTCCCCTATTACTGATAACCTAAAGAAAAAACAAGGTTCCTTTATCATGAGGTCAAGTCTTTCAATCTTTAACACTAACATAATAATTTCAACAATTTAAGATTCTGCAATGTTCTAAATGTTTCAAGATATTATTCCCTAATTACTTATTGATACAGGTATTACTAAAAAATGAAGGCAGAAAGGTTAAATAATCATTTATGGAACTTCATCTAATTGTTAGTGAGAAAGATGGTACCAAGTCTTAAGTTTGCAGACTCTGAATCCATTTCTTTTTCTATTATATCATAGTGTCTCAAAATTCAATTTAAAAGAGTGAGAGAGGGGATTCCCAAATCAGAAATGCAATCCTGTTTTTCCCCCCTTAAGGTTGATTCTATATAGTAACAAATAAAATAATCAAA